TTAATTTATTATGGCTTTTCTCAAGAGCTGTTTGTCAAGTTAAATGTCTAGGAAAGTATTTTAAATTATTTTTTTCCTTATAGTTATCCAAACATTTGGTTATCTAAAATTCACGTGGAGTTCCCAAAGGAGTAGATTTTCCTTATCCAGACTTCCTGACATTCTAGGAGTGGGTATAAAATATTTAGGGTAATTTTTACAGCCAGTGGTGCCACCAATAACTCCAGAATTGCAAGTTCAAATTCAGGTGGTCTGGAATCTCTGGAGAGGGCAACAACAATATTTCCCCAAAGGAACCTAGAAACTCCAACATACCCCTGTGAAAGTTAAAACTCTATAGTTCGTAAAATGAATTAAGTCTATTCTCACTTTCCAAATACTAGTATTAGCGACTTCAGAATAGCACTCTACCAGGGATAGTGAATTTAGCTTTTCTCTCATATGCAAAAAAATAGGCATATATAAAGCAGATATAATCTCAAAATAAAAAAAATTATTGAACCTATCCATCATCTATACGCTTTTAAAAAATTAATTTTAGTGATTAACAGCTTATAAAAAATATTTTATTACTCTACCTTGACTTGCAAAGAGAAAGTAAAAGTATTATTTTTCACTATTTATCCATGAAAGTATTCCCGGACTTAAAAATACAAGGAAAAAAAAGACATGTATACTGCTAAATACATAGTTACAGAGAAAAAACAAAACTCCAGGAATTAAGAATAAAATTAGAGGCATACATATAACCAGAGAAATCCCAAATTCACGAAAACTAATAGTAAATACAAAAGAATAAAACCATCAATAAAAAATATCCTTTATGCAAAATGTCATGTAAAATTAAAAAAACCACTCCTAAACTCACCCTGCATGACAGATATTGCAAAAAGTTAATATATAAAGTTACAAAGACATAAAAAAAAATGGAATGTCAAAGAAATGTGAGGCACTATGGTAAGATTACAAATTATTCTCAGGCAAGAAAACAGTATGTCCCACTCCGTGTAAAGCTTAACATTTTAAAAATGTTTTAAGAAATTTATGTTAATTTATAGATTTTTAAACAGGGCAAGGAATATAGCATGACTATACATAGTAAACTCTGTTTCCACTTACTCATTAACACTCAGCCTTCAACTGACCTCCATATCTACTATGCCTCTTAAAGATGCTTTTTGGAAAATATAATGGGTAATATACTAACCAATCCACATCAACTTGGAGCCTTTTCTCAGCCCTCATCACTCAGACTGTTCTGAAGCAACAGGCTTTTTGACCACTTACTCTTGCTTGAAACCAACTATAGGCCAATTCTAGTCTTTCACTCCTACCTACTTCTGTCTTATTCAGTGTCAAATCATTCCATTCCTTTTTCTAACTATGGAGTATTCCTCAAGATTTTATCTTGGACAAATTCTTCTTCTTTGCTGACTCTCATCCTCCTACCTAATTTCAAATATCATCACAGGATACTTGTGGATAACTTCCAGATCTCTAGTTCTAATCCTCTGTTGAGAGTTAAAACAACTGTTAGATAATTCGTATCTAGTTTCAATCAATTTTCTACTGCATAGCTACTATGTGTCAGACACTACTGTTAAAAATGTAACCTAATATGAAAGCCCCAGTCATCAAGGAGCAGATATTTTAAACCGCAGACCAAAGCCCAACTCCACAAGTCCAAAACTGACCACTCATGTTCCTCTTCCAACAGATTAAATATACAGTAATAGATTCTACACTTTCATTACTGCCGAGGCAATAATGTGTGACTCCTTTCTCAATTCCACATTCAATTGCTGCCAAATAAATGCTGTTATTTATCTGCAATATTCTATTCCCACTGTCAGAGCCTAATTCAGGTCATTAAATATTTTCACCCAAATTGCGACAGCTACCTTCTGAAGTATTCTCTAGTTTCTCATCTAATTCATCCTGCACAAATTAAACCACAGATGTGATCCAAAAATGTTTAATAGGCCCTCAATAGACAAATCGAATCCAAAATCTTCAGTTTGGCATTTATGGTCCTCCATTACCCGGTCTTTATTAATATTTTTTCATCTCTGCTACCCACTATTTCCTTACCTTTTGTTCCAGCAAAACATGGCTAATTTAATCATATCTGGAAACTCCTCGAATATTCCCTTTCTATCTTCATTTATGTCATTATGTCATTTCTCTCCTCCCACCCCCATCCTGATTAACAATCTCCATTCATGTGTACCTTTCTGAAGCTTAACCAACCTTTGGTTCAAATAACATCATTTTTCTAAAAACTTCCCTTTATCCTCTGACTCTATAATATACATAAAAGCTATCTTTTATGTTATACTTTATTTCCACTACAGTTACCTATATATGTCATATAATTCCTATTATTATAAGCAATTTGAAATATGAATGTCTTATCCATCTTTGTCTTCCCACAGTCCACTGTACATGGCTGACATGCAATATATATTGAATACATGTTGAATTTATAATAAAATACATACATAAAATAATCGTATAGTCCATAAAATTATGTAGAAAGTTTCCTTCACTTTTTTAATGGAGAAAAATCATTGCCATAAGAGTATCTTTTTAAAAATCCACCATATTTATTTCTTGAAAAGACAGATTAAAAAGTGATTTTTTTCCCCCCCTACCATTAATCATATATCTTCCACCTCATATGTGTACATGAATTGGTATTACTTTCTTGGCTCAGAACATAAAACTACTTTTCAAGGTTTCAATTTTACATTATTGCATGTACCTACTGATCATAGACTAAACCCCCTTATCATTGAAAACAACACCATAGAAGGAAATGGCTTGCCTGGAGGCTGTCCCAAAAACCCTTACCTCTGAGACAACCCAACTTTTTCTTTTTTAGAGAGGAGCAGTTATAGTAAAATTATACTTCTCCGTTCCAGCTTCCTTCCCACCTCCACAACATCTACCAACTCAAATGCTTGTTCAGAGCCCATACTGTCAGGTTCACAAATTAATAGATAAGTTTTAAGTTCAACTGATTCACCAAAGATTTACTGAATACCTACTATGTGGAAAGTACTGTTGGGGACACAAAAATTAATAAGACATTATTTTCATCTTCTGGAACTCATGATTAAATGCACGACACACAGATAAACAGTTCCATTATAAAGGAGATTATGTAAGTGCTTAAAAGCTTCCAGCAAGGTACAGAGGGTTGTGAGGAGAGACATATGAATTTAATCAGAGTTATCTAAGAAGCTTCAAATGAGAGATGGGTTTCAATTTGAACTCTTTTTTTTAACATTCGAGATTTTCAAGATGAATTATTTTTTAGTAAGTAGTTTAATTTGTTTTAAGTATTTTTATTCATTAGTTTTGCAACAGAATTGGAATTTTTCCACTGAAAAGGTACTGATTCAACATGTAAGTTAAAAATTTAGTTCAATGAATTTTTTTAAGCTCACCCTGAATTGTATTTTACAGACCAAACTTGTGGCCTATAATTAAGAATATTTTTGTATGTTCAAGGGAAAGATACAATGTGTCCATTAATCTGAATTAATGTTTGGTTAAAATTATACTCCCAGAGAAAGGCTAAATTCATATAAACAGGCCACCCAATTTTTACAGAAATTTGTTCAGCATACCAATAGTGCATTAAAAGAGAAAAAACAGCTGAAAATAAAAATCAAGGCCCTAGATTCATTTTCCATTCATACCACCTCTTCCTGCAACACTTGCTTCTTCCAGATGTATGGCCAAAGGTCTGAATCATACCTTGAAGCATGTGCTTTTCAAGTAAGTTCCATTGACACCATGTCCTGATTTTGATACTTCCTGGAAGATTCGGAGTTGTCATGACCTAACTCTGGACATGTTGTACACTGTATGGACAGATGAAAGGACGACATACATCTCAAGCTTAAAATAACTTGCACAGAAGGGGTGGGAAAAGTCTGAGTTAACAGATGCCAGTGCAGCATATTTTAAAAAGAAGAAATTATGATAAGACTGGAGTGAAAGCAAACTGGGGAACGTGTAGGGGTAAGGTATTCCAAATCGCTACTATTTAAAAAAAAAACTTTGGTTTTTAATTACAGAACTCATCAGACGTTTTTGTAATTACCGAACAGTCAAGCAGCATACTACGTAAAAATGTTAGGATAAATAATATGCATTTTTACAAAACATCTGCATTTAAATATTTCAAACAAATCTCTTGCGATTAACTATAAATACAAAGGAACTAGAATCAGATTATGTAGATTTAGGCAGGGGAAGCTGGGAACGAATAACTAATGTAAGTTCGGTAACATGTCACACGGTGCAGGAGAAGGAACCCAGTAAATGGGTTGAGCACAGGAATATTGCACATTGTAATCACCCAGCACTAATTCAACAGCTAGCGGCTCTATCCATCTTTCTTCACGTTCCTCGTGGCCTCTGACAAGTCATCCTTCCAATCTATGATGCTGTCCGCTCTCCCCCATCAAAAATAATTTCCGTGCAGGTGGTAAAATCACCCTCACAAACTACTTGCTCACACTTCCCCACCTCGGGATGAGCTGTCCCCAAGAAGGGAAAAGGTGTCCCTGCCAGAGAAGTTACGTGAAGTGATCTTTCTCGCGGTGGGACCTGAGCCTGCAGCCCCCCGACGCGGGGGAAAGGAAGCGGACGGCCTCCGGAGAGCGGCGGATGGGGCAGAGGATGCGAGTCCGCGCGGCACCGGCTCCGGCAGGAAGAATGGAGGAGGGGAGGCGAGGCGGCGAGGTGCCCGCGAGGCG